CCCACTCTGTCCCCTCTGTCATGGCAGTGCTCTGCTGCACCAATCCGTCCCCTACATCCCCCTCTGGGGATGAAGCGCCACCATAATGGCAGGGATGAACCTGGCCAGTGCTGCCAGTGCCTCCAAGGAGCAGGGCTGGGTGTGGGGGCAGGCCATCCCTGGATGCGGTGGTGAGGCTGGAGCAAGGGGACGGGGGGGTGGGAGGAGTGAGCACCTTGTGCTACCACCACCTCCAAGGAGCAGGGTTGATGGGGGAGGGGGGTGAGGCCTGCACTTTGTAGTTTTGACCAAAAAACCTAGTTAAAAACATAATTTGGACAGGAAGAAATTTAGATTCTTGTCTTAATATGAAGAACTTAAAATGTGTTTATGGTTCTGTCTTATGTTGTAATAGCATTATAATAGCATCTGAAGTCTGTTTCTTCAAATCTGGTTCAAATTTTAATTGGCCTTTGTTAACTAAGATTTTATTAATACTGATTTAATTTTTGAGTTATTAAATGTTGTCATAGTTATAAGAACTAAACACCCCACATTTAAGGAGGAAATAACTAAGAGATAAAATATTTAAGATTGAAATGCAGGTCTCGCAAATTGATCCAGATACTTTGGTAAGTGTAGTACTCTGTATATATAATTGTATCAAAATGGATTTTGCTTTCTTTTAGCATTGAACCTTTTGCGAAACTGTATAGTCAAAAGATTGGAATCAAGCCTGCAGTACTTTTGAAGACCTTATGGGGAGATTATTATCTTAATACAAAGGCAAAGAAGATAATGAAAGGTGACCAGGTAATTTTGCTGAGATGCATAGATATATTGGGTTGAAGCTCTTGGTTCACCTTTTTCCTTTTATTGTAATGGTGTTTAAAGTTCACTGTCAAATAACAGAAGGTACATACATGTCTTGATCTGCAGCCTGATATTTTCTAATTTTGGTTTCCATTTTAAGAAGATAATTTTCATGCTATAATACCTTTTCAGTTCATATTATATAAATAAAAACAATAGCTTCCCATTCAATAGGGCAGTTTGTGGCATTCTCATGGGGCAAAGCTTCCTTAAGGCTTCAGTCTGGTCAACAAAGGTTTCCTTTGCCTAAAGAGACCACATGTAGCTTATCCCCATTATAGCAGCTCTCACATATTTTATCTCGATGCCCAGTATAAGGAGCATTCCAGCAGCCAGGCATGGTGTACAGAGACATTGTATTGAGGGTGAGAGATGGATGGGTGATGTAGGAGTTGCTGTTGGCAAGACACCCTCATACAGGAAGGATCCTTTGCTAGGACTTTACACCTCCAGCTTTAGAGCCTTTGCCACAGAAGGGCAACATATATTTGTCCTCGTAAGTTAGATACACTCTGGGGAGTGTGGCTGGGAATCTAGTTCTTTCATGAATCATGCACCCTTTCTCTCCTCTCCCCCATTTAATTATTAATATTTCCTTTTCTGAAACCTTGAAGGCAAAATCATATTAAAAAGTAGCTGAGGACAGGCTCAGGATTAGGCCAATATCATTAGCCTAATGTATATGCACAGTCAATATTTATCACCCTCCTTCATGTTAAAAATTGAGTGTTTGCTTTCAGTTGTTTGATGGCACATTGGTCCTGCAACTTGCCCCACCCAGATCTCATTATAATTGTTAAATTAGCTGACCTTTCATTCACATTGCCCAGCCAATAGCCTTGATCTAGTAGGACTTCTTAAAAATACTGCTTGTGAAGATTGGCACTTTAACACTATAGTTTTATTCATTATCAACTATATAATGTTTATTTAAGCTCCTAAATATTGCCCTATGTTCTTCTAGTCAAAAGGAAAAAAACCTCTGTTTGTGCAATTAGTTCTGGACAATATATGGAGTCTATATGAAGCTGTTATGAAAAGGTAAGCAAAGTTCAGTGTATTCACTGAATCTTTTTCATGTACTATGTGCTCAGATGAAGATGCTTGCTTGCTGTGTTTTGACCAGTTTATTGCAAGTGCTGTAGGTGCTTGATATAGGTCATATTGCCATTCTTTTTTTTGTAGAGACAAAGATAAAATTGATAAAATAGTCACCTCCTTGGAACTGAAAATTGGAGCCCGTGAAGCACGTCATTCAGATCCTAGAGTTCACCTCAATGCTATTTGCAGTCAGTGGCTACCCATATCTGAGGCTGTCCTCTGTATCCTTAAGGATAAATATGCTTTGTACTTTACCAGCAGTTCTGAGATTTCAGAGCAGTTTCCTATTTAATGTGATTTAATAATTTGTGTAAAAATTCCTTTTTTCCACAAATATACCAGGGGATTTATTTTTTCAATATTAATATTAAGTTACACCTGTAATTATTTTATTTCTGCCTGGTTGGTGTTCCTGCTTGCACACTTCCATTTAAAAAATAAAGAAATTTTATGAAGTCTTTTTAAGTCGTGTGGATTTACAATATGTTTCAGTTATGTAGCTTTATTTGGTCCTTCACATATATATTTTAGAACTCTTTTTCTGAAGGATGCCATGATCACCTTTTCATAATAGAATTTGTCTGTGACTCACTTGTCCCTTAAACCTCAGTAAAACTTTTGCTGATGCCTTGTGGGTGTATTCTCCTTAAGTATTCTGTCCTTCCGCATATGCCAAGAAGCTCTTAACTTTAGTTGGAGCTGCATAAAACCAGGGAATGGATTTGGATATTAGTAATCAGCCATTTCCGACTGCTGGTGTATGCAAGTAATACCATTCTTGAGAAATACAAAATGGGAAGCATTTACCATATATATTTTTTTTATTAATAAAGAATTCTGTAGCAGGCTTCCATGTATCCTTAACAATGTGTTTTAGCTATGGTGTGTAATAAACTTCCTAGTCCTCTTGATATTACTGCTGAGAGAGTGGAAAAATTGATGTGTGTTGGAGCTAGAACATTTGATTCCTTACCACCAGAAACGCAAGATCTGAAAAATGGTGAGTAAATGTTTTTTATACCAATTTGAAGATGGCTTTATTTGTAAATTGCTCTCATATCAGTTTTGGGTCTTGAGAATCTGTTTAACATCTGCTTTGCATTTGGCACTTAGTCTGCAGGCAGTGGTATAGTAAACCTTTGTTAATAATATCCCAGAATATAAGAGTCCTTTTTTATTGTTCAGGATGCTTCTGAGATCCTGTGCATTGCATGGTATTTTTAAATGTCTCAAACCACAAATAAATGTAATGTCTGAGGGTATATCTAAGACAGTAGTTCTCAACCTTTGGTACCCTACAGACCCCCTGCTGTTCGATGTGACAAAAACGAAACTGAAAGTCCCACCATGGCATTTCTGGTTTCGCTGCCATGAGCTGAGTCCCACTTTTCCCACCACGGCCAAGGGCAAAGCAGCATGCGCGGGGCCTCTCTCCCTATCCCCTGGCACACTGACACTGGGGACTGAAAGCCCCGGTGCACTGGACTAGGCAGGAGGGGTAGCGGCCAGAATTTCTGGCCTGAGCAGGCAAAGACCAAATGCAGCACCCATGTATCCCCTGCCTGTGTCTCGCGTAACCCAAGGAGTATGCATACCACGGGTTGAGAAACACTGATTTAAGAGACTTTGAAGAGGCAGATGGGAAGTAAGCATTATCTATTGAAATGTAAAGCAGATTAGATTGGAAGATTGTATCAAGATGAATGTAAACATCCTCAATATGTTAACAGCCTCTAGAGACTGAAGCTTGGTCTAATGCCTGTTGTATTGACTAGCTATGTTTAGCAAGGTGTAAGAAATAGTTTTTTTGTTTGAATTTGCCATGCTGAATAATTTTTGTAGTGATAGCCATGTTAGTATGAAGTCAGGCAGAAGGCACAGTAGATTTTGCACCTTTATAGACTAACTTACGTGTATGGCATAAGCTTTCATAAGTAGAGGGCTTGTTTCATCAGATGCTGTTAAGGGACTGTAGGAAGCAGAGCTGCTAAATAGAAAGCGGTGATTAGTGTATAGAAGAAGGGGCACTGAGAAAGAGGTGAGGTGGGTAGGAGTGAGAAAAATGAAGTAGGACATGAGGGTTATAAAAACTAATCCAGGTAATGGGGTAGGAATCTGACCTGGCCAGATAAAATTCCTAGGGGGACCGGGGAACACTCTCTTCCTTCCTGTGGCCACCTGGAAACTACAAGAAAATACCCCAGCTAGCAGCCTGGTGATTTCTGTAAGTAGAAACCTGGAAACCTGCCAGGAGTTATGCATAGGCAAGCTGCATCTTAAAAGAGTCGCTGTATTTAGTCTCTGTAAAGACTCAAGTTGCTTTTGTCAGCTAAAAGTGTATTCTGACTACCTCATCCAACCCCACCCCCCTCTGATCAATAAAGGTGTGGGGTTACATCCTGCATTGTTGGGTACCAAGAGAGGGAGAGGCCTTCTGCCCCCTGCTTTGCCAGGGAAGTTTGTCTTTGTATTTTCCTTTGCTTTTTCCTGATGCTATATTGGGTGCTTCAGGCTGAAAGAAGCACCAAGAAATATTACTGTGGACAAAGCACCCCCTAGGTTTGCAGGGTCTGTGTGCTCTGGGCTGCACAGAGCCCTTTCAGAGACCAGTGCCTGGGTGGTGGCAATGCTACCCCAGGCTTGCAGGGGTTCTCCAGGAAGTGGGACAAGCAGCTGTAGGCTCCCTGAGGAAGAGTTCCGAAGTGGGGTTTTGGGCCTGGCACAGTGAGGCGGGAGTCCCTGCCTAATAGTGCTCCCTATTGTGCCACCACAGTGGTAATACAGCTATTGCAAACTTTTGCTACTGGTAAAAACTAGTGGTGTTTAAGAAATTAATTTGCTGGGAGGAGTAATTTTGTGTCTGTCTGAAACATGCCTTTGAAATGCATTAGTTCAGTATGGTCCAACAATGCATGTAATGGTAACTATCAGGCTAGTCTTCATTTCTTCCCATTGGAAGCTGTGGTTCATAACAAAAGAAGCTATTTCTTTTGAGTCTTTTACTGCATCATATACACTAAGTTAATCTATTTTAGAAAGGTTTAAGATAGCATTTTAGAATGCAAGTCAAGATTTTATAAAGATTTATTATTGAAAAAATGTTTCCATAATTTACATAATGGGAAACTTTGATATGAATGGGAAAATGTTTTGTACTAAATATAGCTGATTTCAGTGAAGGGTGGGTTTGACTCATCTGTGTATTTTTTAAACTGTGTTGATGAAAAGCTATTGCTACATAGCTGAACAGTATAGCAACACTTTCACTAAGGTCATAATCTGCCAAAAAGAAAAAAAATCTACTTTTGTGTAGTTTGACCTCTCCCAGATCTGACAATCAGGTTGAATGCCAGGAAAGGATAAGAACCCAGAACTAGTTGCATTCCCACTTTTTAACCATTATATAAAAATGTAAAACAAATATTTGCATCATGTTGCTAAATAAATAGCTTGAATTCTTAATTATTTCATAATTCTGCTTTTTTGGCAGATTTTCAGAATAATAAATTAATACCCTCTACCCTGAATGTGAAATTATAAGGCATATAATTTTAAGTCGCTAGGAGTTTTGCCATTGACTTTAATTGGATTGGTATTTAATGCCAGGTTCTGGCAATGCTACCAGCTTTGGCCAGTAGCATCTGGATCCTTTTGTAGTGGTTATATTGACTACACACCCACATACTGAGCTGTGGAGTACCATGGCTTGAAATGCTGTTAACTGCTGGGACCCAGCCCAATGAGTTATATGGTAAATCATGAACTTTTTGGCTTTGGACTAATATCAGACATAGTGGGTATGTCTACACGTGATGCTACCTTGCCATAGTGATGCTCTGTATGGTCATGAAGCATCCATGTGTGATTACACATGACCAGCAGCTACTTCACTGTAGTGGCGCACTCCCCTGTTTATAGCGTGCCGCTATGGCAAAGTAGCTGCTAAAAAAAAAAAGTGCGGTATGCATATGGTCCAGTACAGGCAGTTACTGTGCCATGCAGTAACAGTGTTGCCATAGGGCAGGGGTGGGCAGTTATGTAGGGCAGAGGGCCGCTTACCAAGTTTTGGCAAGCTGTCAAGAGCTGCATGGGTAGCCCTGCCTCCTGACAGGTGCCCCGCCTTTTGGTTGCCATCTTGGGAATGGAAGTCCCACCCTTAACCTTTTCTGCCAGAAGTCCCTCCCCTTGTCCCTGGAAGTACTCCTTTGGGGAAGAGGGTTTGCCATTTTAGGGGGAAAAAACAAGCTACATACTAAAAATCAAACACCCACAGTAATATATTTTAAATAAATTAAAAATACATTTTTTTCTTAATTTGTGTACATTTGTCATATATATGCAGAAGTGATTGCATATGGGGGC